TTAGGGGAACTTACAGGTCAAGGGGATTAGAAAGGAATGAGAGGCTGAGAGGCCCCTACAGAGTGTGAAGGTCTTGGTGTCCTATAGGAACAGCCTGGACCAGATGAGATAAGGGAGAGGGTCGGAATTTGGTGGGGAAACTGAGGGACATGCTGAGGAACAGCCTGGAGGCTGAGAGAGCATGCATTGCCTGTTATCTTGGAGGAGAGGCGGGACTATCGCCAGCTGAGGTCATCCAGGCAGTGGGAGCAAACGCCCCACCTCACCTGGATCGGGGTTACCAGAAGTCCCAAGCCCTAGACTTTTCCAAGGTTTCCACTTTGTCTTAAGCTCTCTGTGTGCTGCTGGAACCAGTGACAGGAAGGGGCTCCAACTCCCCTCCCCTCCAGCAGCCTCTTTCCCACTGCCATCAATTATTCATCAGCGCAGACGCCCGCCCTCCCTGCAGGGCAGGCTGGTCTTTCTCTCCACACCCCGCCCTAGCTCAGCCACACTGCCACAGAGACTCTGGTAAGGACGGACAGCCAACCGGGCAGTGGAGACCTGGCTGAAGGACTGGGTGGCCTGCCCTGTAGGACCCTACTTGAGAACACATCTCCTACCCCTCCCGCACCTTCCTCCTTCCTCCTGCCAATCCCCTGGTTTCAGGAAGCCCCCGGAGAAGATGCCCATCCAGATCTTCTGCTCTGTGTCATTCTCCTCTGGAGAGGAGGCCCCAAAGCCTGTGGGAGATGTCTGGGGTCCTCACCAGCAGCAGCATCAGGACAACTCTGAATCAGAAGATGAGGAAGAAGAGAAGGAGAAGGAAGTGTCAAGGAAGGACGCCAAAGAGGGGGACTTGCCTGTGGACTTGGTGGCCTTTGCCAATAGCTGCACCCTACATGGCGCCAGCCATGTCTTTGTGGAAGGGGGTCCAGGGCCAAAGCAGGCTCTGTGGGCAGTGGCCTTTATCCTAGCACTGGGTGCCTTCCTGTGCCAGGTAGGGGACCGTGTTGCCTATTACCTCAGCTACCCGCATGTGACTCTGCTAGATGAAGTGGCCACCACGGAGCTGGCCTTCCCAGCAGTCACCCTCTGCAACACCAACGCTGTGCGGCTGTCCCAACTCAGCTACCCTGACTTGCTCTACCTGGCCCCTATGCTGGGACTGGATGAGAGTGATGATCCTGGGGTGCCCCTTGCTCCTCCTGGGCCAGAGGCTTTTTCTGGGGAACCCTTTAATCTGCATCGTTTCTACAATCGCTCCTGCCACCGGCTGGAGGACATGCTGCTCTATTGCTCCTACTGCGGGGGGCCCTGTGGCCCTCACAACTTCTCAGTGGTGAGTGGGGCCCATGCCTAGCACAGCACCCCAAGAGTGTCTGCCATGGCTCTCCCTGACCATCACCTCCTGGGGCTGGGGCTGATGATTGGACCGCACCTGCGCCTGGACCAGCATTCACCCAGGGGTCCAGGGTCTGGAACTGGATTGATATTCCCAGATCCATGCCAGTACTTCTCTTCCTGTTAGAAACTTGAAATACTTCTTGCCTACTTGGTAATTAGCTGCTGCCTGGAGGCCTCTGGTGTCTTCCTGAATATCCTCCAGCCTCAGATGAGGCCTTTCCACAGACCTCCTCATGGCCCAGGAGGGCCCCAGGACCTTACTCTAGGAGGTCAGCCTTTGATCTGTTGTTGCATGACTATGCTTGTGCCTGGCCAGTTGTTAACTATTTGACTATCACCCTTAGAGTAATGGTGGGGCAAGAGCCAACTGATCCCTGGAGGTGCAGAAGGGGATGGTAGGGAAGTAGTGGAGGGGGGGAGACAGCCCCTACCTCCACTCCCCATCTCTTGTCAGCAACTTCCACATTCATTCCATCCTCACATGGTCTCCTGTGCTCTTTCCTTGAGGAGCCTATCATCTAACAGCTGTGTGTGTGTGTGTGTGTGTGTGTGTGTGTGTGTGTGTGTGTGTCCTGCCTATCTGTTTCTGTCTGTTTGTAGGTGAATACAAGTCTCCTCTAAATCAAACTGCCTCCTCCCAGCTCTGACTAAGTGACAGGGACCTTCTTCCCAGAGGAAGTTCTCTTTGAGAGAGTCACCTTTCCTCTTGGCCTTCTTCCTCCCTGGAATTCTCTGCTTCCCTGCTGAGGGACCACATGCCACCCCACTAGCTCCCCAGTTCAGCTTCCAGTTCTGTCTGTTTTGACAGCCCCTCCAAGTTGGAGATGCCTGGCTTTGCCTCCCTATAACCCCCATTATGTAGTGCCCACTTCCTCCTTAGTGTAGGAACAGGTGGGTATCATTTCAGTCCATCTCACGGTTCATGGATGACTGCAGACATACAGGGACCTGGGCCTTAGGGAAGCCAGGAGATACAGGACCATGGTACAAAAGGCAACTTGTCTTCCTTCCACCAGAGGGTAGAGCAGACACTTTTCACATTGAAACCAGCAGATGGCAGCAGGGATACACTGCTCAGTCAATCCAGTGCTCTGAGTCCTGGGCAAAGCTGGGACTCAACCAGCTGGACTCACTCACATCCCAAGATGGAGGGTAGGCCAGAGTGTGTGTCTTGCCTGGGGCCTGTGACTGCATGCCACAAGACCTAATAGTGGGGCTGAAGAAATATGGAGCCCTCAAAGTTCTCCCTGAATCTCTGAATTTACATACAAAATCTGGGAGTGTTCTCAAATTTAATTTTCCCTTCTTAAGGGGATTGGAGAATGCTGTACTAGGAAGAAGGAAGGGACAAAAACTATTTCCTAGTAACCACCACTGGCCTGCTGCCCCAATCTGGCCTGACAATCTTGTCTCTCTCCTCTGGGCTGTGTCTGAACTCACCTTAGGACTCATTTTGTCACCATCCCGCAGTAGTAAAAGCACAACCATTCCATTTATGAGAACATTCAGAGAGGTGGTGGGGAAAAGGCCACTGAGAATTGGTTCACTCTTTTCTCCATAGCAGTGTAATCGAGGCTGTGTAAGGGCTGTGCTGGGACATGGTTGAGGGGAGAAGACTAGGGGACCACCCCTGTGGCCAAGATTTCTTCTGAGGCCCTCAGAACTCTGCCAGAGCATTGCCAATGTACAATGCCTTGTTGCTCAGTCCTCAGTGCTGAGAAAAGAAGTGCTGTGCCTGGGTAAGCACAGTGCTTGGCATGGCAACTGAGACTACTGTCAGGTTCTAGTGATAATGGGGCAATGATGGACATAAGGGGCTGATAGCTGGAGGAAACCAAAAAGCTCAGGTCTGAGAGGCTTAGGTTTGGGAGCAGGTCTTATAGAGAGCAGTATTTCTAATGCCTGGGGCAGGGGTGATATCCAGAAGAGAAGATCTATTTCAGAAGGACTCAGAGGTCTGGCAGTGATAGGATCTTGGTGATGGAGGTGCATATGTTAGGGTCCTGGCAAGAAAAAGATTGCCACTTGATAGTTCAATTGAAAAGACCTTAACAAAGGGACTGTTTACAGAACTATGGGCAGGATTAAGGAAACCAATAAGGAGAGCTGAGGCAGCTAGCAATAGTGGAAATTGTTATCACTTGTAGGCTGAAGACACAAAGGGAGCCCTCCTGGCAGGATTTATAGTCATGGAGGATCTAAGCAACAGCCAGCATTACAGAGAGCGGGGGTGAAGAAGTATCAGTACCCCAATCTCTCTCTCCTCCTGCCTTCCCTTACTTGTGGGTCCCATTGGCCAAACCCAGCCAGAAGCCCATCTGGATGATAAAAGAGCTCAGGCCATGTACCCTACGAAGGTTGACTTTCCAGGGCACATGGCAGGACAAAGAAGGGTAGAGAATAGGTGAGAGATGGGAACTAACAGAGAACAGGATATACTGGAAGAATCATTCCTGAAGGATGGTGTGATTCCAGCAGCTAGGTGGGGGCAGACAGTGCTGGAAGGACTCTCAGACTCTCTACTCTGCCCCTCCATCAGGTCTTCACACGGTATGGAAAGTGCTACACATTCAACTCAGGCAGAGATGGACGGCCTCGGCTGAAGACTATGAAGGGCGGGACTGGCAATGGGCTAGAGATCATGCTGGACATCCAGCAGGATGAGTACCTGCCTGTATGGGGGGAGACTGGTACGTACCCCACTCAGGGCCCCTTCCCATGGTTCCTGGCCTCTGCCTCCACTAGGGCTCCATTATGTGACCTGAGACAGGACTCAGGCTCCTCCCTTTCCCTCCCAGGATCTCACCATCTCTATCTCTGACTTTACCTGACTTCCACACTCACATTTCCCTGCCCACCCCTCCCTCCCTGCCAGCTCGGTTACTCTCCAAGGTAACCAGTCATCCTCTTCCATCAGCAGCCGCCACTCACTCTATAAATAACTCCCTCTCTTCTTGGGCTGCCTGCCTGTCTGGTCCCAGGGGGCCTTGGGGCAGAGAGAGATGGGGAAAAAGGAGAAAGGGAGGAGAAATGGAGAGTGTCTAAGATAGTGACACTCTGAGAGAAAGAATTTGAAATACCAAGACACAGAGCAGACACCAGGTAAGAAAAGAAGTGTATAGGATGCGGGGGTCATTGGAGCAGCATGGAGCTGGTAAATTCAGGAGGCTAGTGGTGGACTAGGATTCCATGGATAGCCTTCTCACCAAATCCCAGTGGATGCTGTGTTCATCCCCAGGAGAGGTCGGATGCCCCCAGCTCTGAAGGGGATTAGGGACTCAGAAGCCCTCCCAACCTACAAACCCTCATTCCCATAGATGAGACGTCCTTTGAAGCAGGCATCAAAGTACAGATCCACAGTCAGGATGAACCTCCTTTCATCGACCAGCTGGGCTTTGGCGTGGCACCAGGCTTCCAAACCTTTGTGTCCTGCCAGGAGCAGCGGGTGAGAGGGCCATGGAAGGCTGCTCTTGGGGTGGGGTGTTGAGGGGTCAAGATGGACTGGTAGGTGACCAATAATGGGGGAACAAGTGAGGTAGGGGATAGATGGTAATTGGGCTAATCAGAAGCATAAATGATCTAAGGAACAAGAATATTCTGCAGAGGCTGCAGAGGGCAAGGGGGCAGTGCTCCTGAATGGTGCATCTTGTCAGAGAAGTCCATCAAGGTGACTTGGGGAGAAGTCCCCACACTCCCCCAGCTCCCTGGCTCTCCCAGCAGCTCATCTACCTGCCCCCGCCCTGGGGCACCTGCAAAGCTGTTACCATGGACTCGGATTTCTTCGACTCCTACAGCATCACCGCCTGCCGCATTGACTGTGAGACCCGTTACTTGGTGGAGAACTGCAACTGCCGTATGGTGCACATGCCAGGTCAGACCCCGAGGCTCCAAGCACAATTCTGGCTTACACTGCCCCTCACTTGCTTCCTACCCCAGTTCCATCTCGCCATTGTCTGACCTTGGTTCCTGCCTGTGCCCACAGGGATAAGTGGAAGAGTCTAAAAAGGGTGGATTATAGAGGTAGATCACTTCCAGGACAGATGGGGAGAGGATGATCCTACTGTCTCATCCTCTCCCGGCTTCTGTCTTATGGCACCACTGCCATCAAGAGACCCCTTTAATCTCCATTCCGCATCACTGTCTTCTCTCCTCTCTAGGAGATGCCCCATACTGCACTCCAGAGCAGTACAAGGAATGTGCGGATCCTGCCCTGGGTGAGCAGCACTGGCCTGGGGCAGTCGCAGGAGGGAAGGAGTTGCTGCAGTCACACTCATAGGGTTTTAGACCAAGCTCCCAGAAGCTTCCAATAGCTGCTGCTAGACTGCGCCCTCACATGTATCTGACTTTAATGCTGAGAATAGCATCTTCAGAGGTTCTTATGAAAAATGAATGGGGGTCACCTGGGAGAGGCCTTCACCCTCTTTCATCAGCACCTCAGCTAGCTGATCCTCAGAGGCCCTGAGGGAATGAAATATAGGATTAAGAAATACCTTGGGAGACTGGGTGAGAATCAGCACAGGGTAGGCACAGGGCTGATGTGGTTCAGGAAAAGAGAAGGGGATCCAGAGTTCCTTTGGCCAGTGCCAGGATGTTCATGTTGGGAAAGTGTTGGCAGAAGGACACCACTCAACCAGCACCTCTCATCTTACTGAGCACAGACTTCCTGGTGGAGAAGGACCAGGAGTACTGTGTGTGTGAAATGCCCTGCAACCTGACCCGCTATGGCAAGGAGCTGTCCATGGTCAAGATCCCCAGCAAAGCCTCAGCCAAGTACCTAGCCAAGAAGTTCAACAAGTCTGAGCAGTACATAGGGTAAGGGTTCTACTGTGCATGGCAGAGCTTTTTGGCAGGGACTTGGAAGGTATGAGTGGGCTTTGATGAGGGGTGGACAGGCAAGGCAAAATTGAGATAACCTGGGGAATATCCAAGAGGCAACCGAAGAGTGTGGAGTGGGTATGGGGGAAGATAAAGCCAGAATAAGCAGTGGAACCCCTCTCCCCTTGCTCTTCCCTCCTCACTTTATCCTCTATCTGTCTCCATCCTCATGTAACTAGATCATCTCCCCACATGCCAGTATGCCCAGCATCTTTTCCTGTATGCCATTTCACTTAACCCTCACAACAACTCTAGAAGGCAAGCCTCACCATCAGCATCTCATTTTACGGATATGGAAACTGAGGTTCACAGAGGCTAACTTGCTAAGGTCACCTGGCTACTGAGAGGCAGAGATCTGACTTGAACCTAGTCTCCTCCCCCCACCCCTGTACAGGGAGAACATCCTGGTGCTGGACATTTTCTTCGAAGTCCTCAATTATGAGACCATTGAACAGAAGAAGGCCTATGAGATTGCAGGGCTCTTGGGTGAGCTTATGATGGCACCTGTCCCTTTCCATATCATGGGCATGGTGTGGCTCCCTACCACCCAAATCAGGGTGCTCACTCTGTCTCACTCCCAGGAGCCTTTTCCCAAACTCCACTGTGTGGCATGCAAAGTGGAAAAAAACAGGCCCCCTGTGGGCATGAGGGAGGAGTGGGGGTGGAGGTGGAG